ACCCTATAAAAACCCTCCGCTCCAGCCCGGGGGCGCGCCAGTCTCTTGAGCTTCTTGAGGGACTGTGTTGCCCCGGGTACCCGTGTTCCTGAATAAAGCCTCTTGCTGTTTGCATCTGACTTGTGGTCTCGTGTGATCTCTGGGCGAGGGTCTCTCCAGAGGGAAGACTGCCTTCGGGGGTCTTTCAGTGGTAGTGGTGATATTGAGATTCTACATTCTAACATGCACCCAGGCAATACCACACTCTGATGCAGAACCACATTAGTATTTTCATGCTCCAGTTTTCAGGATTACAACCCATGTCAAGAAGATCCAATGTTAACATAAGAGGACCTGAAACAAGTACCTATGACATGTAAGGAAGCTACTGAGAAGTCAGGGAGAGGCCCAATGATGAAGCCCATGTTCTCTATCTGTGTTAGTATGCCTTCAGCTCTGCTCTAATGTCCTGCTTTTGCCCACCCAGGAGAATATATTTGCCTTTCTGCTCTAATGAAATGTTAGTATCAGGGTCTTGAAGGTCATATGGGGATGCCTTGCTCTCACCTGTGTGGACCACATCTACATTTGTTTCTTGAGCAAATATTAGCATCAGTCTCAGTTATAGATTCTGGAGAAGCACTCCTTCTAGAATTCTTTCTGTAGCTTATAATGATCCACAAAAGCAGACAAAATGTGCCTTGGGTTTGATATTTCCTATGCTCTGATCCCTGCAGGACTCAAAGCTAAAAGGATTTATTTCCAAGATTTAAGTAAGCAAATGTCACACTCCCAACATCAAATGCTGCATCTGAATCCTTCACAATGAGATCAATGTTCAAGTTTTGGAACCATTTAAGTTATGATCATTATACTCAAAATGGTGAAAAAAAAAAAACTTTAGAAGACTGAATTATCAGGCTTACATAAATATTCCCATCTGATCATTAAAAAGCTGAGTTACTAAACGCTGATTTCATATAAATTAAATTCAACAAATAGTAGTAAGTTTGTTTTAAGTGTTTTAGGACAGGACTGTTCTTCTTGATAAGAAAAACAAACAAGAAGATTTTGAGATTGTCACACTGTACCATTTCTTGTGAAACATAATCTGGGCTCTTTGTGTCAGCAGAATAAAAAGAGAAGTCATAGGTGAAGGTCTTGGTCCGTTCTCTGCCTGAGTCCCCAGTTCCTCCTTCTGGTATCTAGAAAGACAGTTTTGACAGTAGTAATAAGAAAATGGAGTGATAATAACAATAACATAAAGAGTAACGTCATTTAACCACTGACCCAAATTAAGAAACAAAGTCTGTGAATAAAACACATAAAATGATTAACGTTTGCAGCATGTATACTCTAATTCCTATTGGTATCCCTAAAGAATGAATAAAAATAAATAAATACAACATAAAAGTCCAGGATCTGTATTATAACCATCAGCTATGATATTTACAATATAATTAGCTTTCATGAACACAATGTTCAGTCAGACTCTGTCTGCTTATCTTGCATGAGTCTTTGACTGTTTCCTCTGTGACATACCCCCAGAGCTGGACACTGTACAACTTTAGGCGTGCAGGACACTGATTCTGGCAAAAGTGGTGCCCTCCAGAGCTGTGTGATGTGGTGGCCCCTTGAAAACTCAAAGTCAGATATCTCCTCTTCCATGAAGCTTCCCTAATATTCCACCTAGAAATAATTTCCCCCTCTTTTCCAAATGAAAACACTAAGATATATCATACTGTGAGAAGATTACAAATGTTTGCATACATCTTATGTTTCATGCTTTGAGCTTAAATTGAATCCCCATATCATCCATATATTCCCAAAACCTTATACCTTGGACATAATGCTAAATAGCTTCAATGAACAGTATACTTTTCAATAATCAACTTCTTTTCTTAAAACAAATTATTTTAAAAAATTAACGATGGAAACAACAGTCTATTAAAAATACGAGCATTTCCCGTGGGCAGACTAGTGGCACAAGTGTTATTTATGCAGGTAACCAACCACCAACAGGAGTAAGACCACTCCACAGGAGGAGACGCATGGCTGGTACGGTAGATCTGGACACGGACCCAAAGTTGGTGTGGTAACAGGCTCGAGGGCTAAAACCTGCTACTATTACTTTTGCTAAAATATGTACATAGTATCAAACTACCTTCTAAATTTATATCTTTATATCCACAGACTGGTGAGGTTCTCAGACCTTTTCAGAGAAGTTTCTTTGTTCAGTGAATGGTGGTTAACAAAGAAACTCACAGCTGGTCACATACAGAGAAAAGATATCTATGGAGTGCTCAGCTACAAATGGGATGTCTATACCACATGCCCTCCCCACAAGATGCAGTGGCCATTACAGAAAAAGCACAGGAAGATTTTAAGAGCCAGAGGTTGAGGGGGGCTAGATGAGACAACGTCTTCTAGACAGACCACTGCACTCATGAACTCACAGCAGCTAGGGCTGGCTGCATAAGACCTGAGCAAGATCAAACCTGTCAACATTCTAGACAGGAGGAGGAGGGACTCTTTAGGAGCTACCAAGAGTTGATGGCTGCTAGAGAAAGGAAAGTCTGTTTTCTTTAATAATGTGGCCCCTGGTAGGTAGACCATGGTCCAATGGTTGCACAGCCATGACTATATAGACAGTACAAACTGGACTCAGTGGACTATACTTTAAAAATAGATAATACTTACAAAAATACATACATACATATATAGACTGATTGTGAAGTTGGGAAAATAGGGAATGGATCTGAGAGGTATTAGAAAAAACAGGGGTAAATGGTGACTATGATCAAAATATACTGTATACAAAAAAATTTCAAAGAATTGGTAAAATATTATAGTAAAAATAAAATTTTAAAGGAAAAAATTTTGACATCTATTCTAGTTACTCAATCATCATAGAAGGAAATGTGTATAAAACACAAAAAGCAACAGAGTAATCAAGGAAAATAGATTCTATAATACACGTGCAAGAGAGGACTCAGCCAAAGCACTGTGAGCACACACATGCATGAAGTAAAGGAAAGGTCTGCAAGCAAGAGGTAAACAGAACTGAAGCAGCCTGAGAAGATGAGGGAGGCTAAAGAAAGAAGGCTCAGGGTAGGCCAGAAAGAGTCCTGTTGTGCTGAAGACTGTGATAAGAACAGGAAGAAAGCATTCTAGCACTCCAGAGCATGCCTCTGGGAAGACAGTACTATTCCCATTCCTGTTTCTGGGGATCAAGTTGTACTACTCAGAAAGTGATATTAGGGTATCCACTCACCAAGACCAGGAATTAATAGAAATCTACTGCTCAGACACTTGGCCATGGAGCAGCAGACCTCAGAAACCCACACCTCCAAACTGAAGAGCGCTAAGCCCTGAAAGCATATGATGTCTTTAATATTGCCTTTATACCATTGCTTCCTCCTTGAGTGGGAAGCATTCAAGATCCTCACCCAGTGTGCTAATGAAATAAATAGTGTATTTTAAAGGCAAAAGGAAGAATTTACCATTTTGAAAGATTGTGAAGTTTTTTCATCTAATTTTTTTCAGAAAGTAATGCAGTTTTATTGTTTCTTTTTTAAGCTTTCATTCCTCTCAGCTAATAATAAACAACGGTTGTCAGATCATCAAGGATCAGAATACATGATGGGTTCTCATTAAAAAATCAAAACAAAAACTGGGGTACTAGTTCAGTTGTTAAGAGTGTCTGCCTAGCATGATGAGGCCCTGAGCTTGATCTCTAGCACAGCATAAACCAGGTATGCTGGTGTATGTACACAACCCTAGCACTGAGGAGATGGGGACAGGAGAATCAGGAGTTCAAGGTCATACTCATCCACGTTTGAGGCCACCCTAGGCTACCTGAGATCCCGTCTCAAACAAACAAATACAGGGTCAAAACTTGCCTAGCACTTCACAGAGTACAGGCAACAACTACCAGGCTAGAATATAGGGTGGAAATGCCAGGTTCTTGTCTACAGTGGGAACTCGCAGACCAGGGAAACAGCGTGAACCTGACTTTCAGGTCAGGTGAAACTAGGGCAGGAGAGGCACCAGGCTCAGTCAATGCTTCAGCTTCGGGACCAAGCCTCTGCAGAGAGCAGCAGACACTGCCCACCGTACTGAGTTAGTGCAGAGGTGAAGGGGGTCGGGTGCTTCACTCATCGGTACCGTCCTCACGGAGCGCAAGGGTCGAGCTCTCAGAACTACAGCAGGGCTGTCATCACTTGCCTTTAAGTTTGTGATTGTCGTTTTGCTTTTCTCCATTTGAATGATAAACTTGGCCTCCAGGTCCTTTTCCCTGCAACATTAAAAAAAAAAAAAAAAAAAAAAAAAAACCAGTAAGGGTTAGGAGACAAAAGATTATTTTGAAATAAACCTGTTTCTTCTGCTTTTCACATAAGGGTCTTTGATTTTAAATGACATCTGAAAAGTAATCCCAGTTAGCCCTGCTCCCAAATCCTTGCTAAGGCTATAAACATGAAGATATATCACACAGATGCCACCATCAGCAACTATGACTAACAAAAATGTGCTGTCAAAATCTGAAGGGTTTCTAACTGTAAGACAAGTCAGCAACACAAAATGAAGGGCTGAGCATGCAGAAGATGGCCGTACCAGCCTGGGTGAGACTAAGTCAGGTCACAGCTGCGGCTGCTCCCAGGAGCAGCCAGGGTTCTGGCCCTCCTCTCACCATCTTGATAGATCCACTGGGAATTGCACTTCTTTCAAAGCAGTAAACAGGAACTCAGGGAAATTCTGAAGAGCACAGTTCTCTAGAATAGCTCTACATGGTAGGTGGCAAGGGCCTGTAATCCCAGCACTCGGGAGGCTGAGGCAGGAAGACTGAATTCAAGGCCAGCCTGGGCTACACAGAGAGATCATTGCCTCAACAAGAAAAAAAAAAAAACATTGTTTATCCATACAAAACAATGCTATGCCAATCAAAAAGGACTGACAAGCATCTCTGTACCACATTACAGCACGGTCACCAGGACACGTGATTTAAGTAGAATGCAAGGCAGAGAAAAGCACGCAGGCAGTCCTCCCCTTACATGGTCTGTCTTTAGTACTTCATACTCTGGAGATAAAGTAATACACATTCAGTATTAATCCTAACTTGAATTCTGAATTTTTATCATTTCGTAGGCTAGTGATACACAATCCAGTCCTCTCTAGTGATGCCTGACAGGAGCAGCAAGATTTGGATGCCAGCTGGCCTCGAACTCACAAGGGAAGCAGCACATACCTTATGGTGTACACTGCACATTGTACTGTGTTAACAAACTGGAAGGTTTGTTAGGTCTATAGGTTAAATGTACCCAAAGCATTTGATTTATTAAGTTCTTAACTTATAACAGGTTTAGGGACAAAATCCCATCCCAAGTCCAAAGAGAAAATATATATATATATATATATATATATATATATATATATATATATATGCATGATACTGCTTATATGTAGAAAACAAAAGGGTAATCTTAGTCTTTTTCAAAAGGCTACATATGGAGAAAGAAAAAATGGAAAAAAGGGCAAAAACAAGTGCTAGATTTCTCTGAATATTAATGTATACAAAAATAAATTTGCTTAAACAACCTAAAATTCAAAAGCGGTTGAAAATAATGAATCAAACTTTGTACCACACAGTGGAAGAACATTTCCATAAGGTATGGAGGAGTTTGACTATGCAATGTGACAGAATCAGTTATCTTTGGTGGTCATCCTGAGATTTTTATTTGTGTATTGTGAGAAAATTCATGAATACTTATGCTGGTATCATGGAGAGCTACTACCAGTAGACTTAGTAGACTAAAAATAGACACAAACACAGGACAGATGAGGTATGGTTTCTGAATGGGAAATAATAGCATGAACTTTATCAAAATTTAAAGAAAGAAGGGGAGGGGAGAGGGTGAGGGAGAGGGAGAGGAAGGAAAAACCACAGACTGCATATTCCTAATCTGAAAATCTAAAATCCAAAATGCTCCAAACTAGAAAGCTTCATGAACCCTGACATGATGCCACAAGTTGCAATCCCACATGTGTCCTCGTGTGATAGGCCACAGTGAAAATACAGGCACACGAAAATAGTAACTAAACTACCTTTAAGTGAATCCCACGATTAGTCTCAGGTCCAAGCCACAAGCTATTTCACTCTGTGGATGCTAACATTCCAATGTCTGAAACAATCTGAATTATGAAACCCATCTAGTTCCCAAACATTTCGGATAAAGGGATACACAACACCCTAGTTCTGCCTACTGAGAAGATCTAGAACCATAGGATCAGAGAAGAACCTCTGAACACCATTTGCCACTAAGAGAACTCAAGGCTTCTTAAAGAAATTAATACCTAACCCTTCCCACTCAAGAAAGCAAGTCCACTAAGATTGCAAGGACTGTGGGAAGGCAAGACCCCAAACAACTTGGGATGCTCCCCAGTGCTCACACCTCTGGGCTCCCCTCCCCTTGTTATAGGTTGAACCTGATGATACTGCTTTCTTGTAACAGTAATGGATAATGAAGAGCAGAAGAAAGGAAACCCATATATTAAAAATATATATTAAAGATGTGTTAGCCACTTGGACCTCACTCTACACAGAAAAAAAAAATTGCTAAAAGTTGTAACACACCGGATCTAGGAGATAGCTCAAGGTGCTTGCTGCACGAGCATGAAAGGCCTTGGTTCAGATCCCTGGCACTCGTGCAAAAGGCCAGGTAGACAGAGCATTCCTGTAATCCCAGGACTGAGAGGAGAAAACAGGAGGATCCTTGGACTTGCTGGCCAGCCATTCTGGTGGAATCAGTGAGTTCAGGGTTCAATAAGAGAGCTGTCTTAAAACACAAGGAGTAACTGAGGAAGATAACTGGTGTCAACTTCTGGTCTCCACACATACATGCACACATGTGCACACACACACACACACACACACACACACACACACACACACACGTAAAGAAATACTGACAATGAATAGACTTTGATATTCAGGGATTATAACTACTGTTTTAGGTGTGATAAAAGCACCATAGTGACTTTAAAATATCTTACCCTTGAAAATAACACACACTGAAATAATTATAAGTAAATTATCTAGGATTTACATTAATCTGATGGCAGACAACTAGCTGAGGGTAACCTCCTGGCCATCTCTGGATTAAAGAATATCCATGAACAATAACCCCAAAAATTATGTTGCAGTAAACACCATTAGGTCTGTAGTGGATTCCCAGAACCAGGTCTGGCATTTCCAAGCCAGTCTTAAGAAGACTTCCATTGCATGCCACTAGGTCTTGGAACTTACCTTAGGCCACTCCATGTTCATATGACCCTAAAACAAATGGCTCCTCAAATCACACTTTCTGAGCGTTTGACCATGAAGAGCATGCCCAGCCCAGCAAGGGCTGTTCAGGCTACATGTATCTGCACTGCAGACTACATCATCTCGGTACCTGCCAATTCCACAGGGGCTCTTTCTCACTCAATAACCCTCCATGCCTGAATTTTGAGTCTTAAAACAACTACTACCAATACATACCTCAGGTGAACAAAACGATATGCTCTCTAGGAAATATCAGATACTGCGCGGCAGCTTCACACTACTTTTCAGCCCTTGCCTTTGAAAGTGTTTTTCATACTCTGCCTACCACCCCCGCCTCAAGCCCAGCATTCCTGGATCCCCATCTCAGCTAAACTGTACACAGTCCTCTTACATGCTCACTTCTAACTCATTAAGTATCTCAGCAGCGCTTCTCAGTTGGGAATAAACACCTAGAACCTACCCCACAAGAGCGCTAACAGGTGCCCCTGAAAGACTGAGACATAAAATAAGCATCTTTCTAACGGCGTTTCTCGAATCTAACCACTGATGGAGAGCCTAGCAGAGACTTCAGAGATACCAGAGATTACCCTAGCTGGGGAGTGGCCGTGAGAGGGGCACAGGGAATGTGCACAGCTTTGATCTTCCAGAGTTCAGAGCTCATCTCAAAGAACTTATCTCCCCAAAAGACAAGAACACCACAACACCCACCCCACGGTCCAACTCAGGCCATTGAAAACGTGCCTGGAAACCAGCAGCTCGGGAAGCCCTGAGGAATGTAAAGTGAGGAGTGTGAAGCACTATTTCAGACCCATGGAATGGGGCACTGTTGACTCAGCAGCCTATGCATGACTCTGACGAGCAGTGAAGCCTGGGAAAGGCAGAGCTGGCATCAGTCTATAAGGCATCTTGTTATTCTGCTCTTACATTTACCCTTAAGAAATAAGCTCCTGAAAAAACAAAAACAAATAAACAAAAAAACCCATCTGCTTATTACACAGAGTCATTTACTTTGTTCTTTGACTTTACTCCCCCCACAACATAATATTTTTATTAATTATTTGGGAATGTCATACAATGTACCTGATCACACTCGCTTCCTATTCCTTCCAGGTCCACCCTCCCACCCTTGCACGGCCCCCCACCCAAAAAAAATTACACCAAGTCCAAATTGGGTGGCCCATATACTCATTGGAACATAGTCAATAAAATTTTACTTCTAAAACTGCACAGCAGAATGTAAGGAAATGGGCCAGCTAACCCTCTGCTCTAAGTGTACAAAGACTTCTAACCAAAAACACAGGAATGGCACAATCTTACCTAAGAAGCCATCTGAGTATAACAGCCAGGTTTCCTCACTCCCAGGTCCCTGCAAACCACCAGCTTCTAGCAAATTTTGCACCTGCACTGCCTCCCAAATCTCATGCTAGTGACTGAAAATACCTGTAGAAAGCTCAGTAACCCGGCTTTCCATGCTTGCTGGAGCCGCCAATGCTGACCCACCCCACTGCTGTGTGCATTCCATACACATGCCAGAGGGCTGTCACACTCACAGTTATTTCCAAGGTTTAAAGTAGGAAGAGGAGCTATCCAGTGCCTTCGTATCCCACACCTCCCTGGGCAGCCATGCTCCACGCCCATTACCTACTGGAGATGGTGGCTTTTGCTCATGGTCCTTTCTTCACCCCCAGAGCCTTAAGTGTCATGATTCCTCACGGTCCATGGGAAAATCCATCTTACCCCAATTCTTCAACCCAACACTTAGTAAGTCCTGTCTACTCACCACCTACTGACCTTGGCCTCATCTCCCTACTCCATTGCCACTGTTCAAACTCAGGCCCTCCTACTGCTCTCTGCCTCCAGTCAAGTCCGTTCCCATGTACACATCACTCTCTGCTTCCAGAATGCCTTCTAAAAGGCCATCTCACCGTGAAGCACCTAACTTTAAACACCTTTGGGATTTCTCAAAGGCTACAGGA